AGAAAGAAAAAAGAGAAAGGAGGAAATACTGCCAGACTGCTAGGCACTGTGTGTGGTACTGTATATAGCTCCATGAGAACGGGGACTTACTCACCTGGTACAGCAGGCACTTAAACATTTGTCGAATGACTGAAGACCAGGGATCTCCCCGAATGTTGCTTTGTATAACCTTCCTCTAAGACTTTTATACATCTGTGAACTGATGGAAATAATCACCGACTGAATTTCCTGTTGCCTCAACAGGAAGAGGCTTAGAGTCAGATTAATTTTATTTAGAAAAAATAAAGTGACTTTGCTTACATCCCACAAATCTAACGAAATGTTTCAGAGAACATTTGGGGAGGGAAGACTAGAACTGTAAGGAAAACCTTGGTCTAATTGGAAGAGGAACCCCACCCACTGTTCACAAGGTAAGACCAAATAAGAAAATGTGGGCCAATTATGAGAAATCAGAATACGAATGTTAGGGCTTAGGAAAATAGTATAGCTTTGACTTTGGGATGGGCCAATCAAAAGGAGTTCCAAAGGGTTTTGTGTTCAAAAGAAACTAAGTATTTGCTAAAATTATTTTTCAAAATCTGAGCAAGAAGAGAGCAGACGCAAGGTTTAAACCTTTATGTATAAAATGGATTCTACAATTTTTAGAAAAAGATGTCATGTCCCATTCCAGAACTCATCCTAGATAATGTGTTACGAGATACACTACTTTTGATTGTGAAATAATTGAGCTTTAGAATAATTCAGTGAGTTCCCGAATACATTGAAACTGCAGTTCTTGAACTTAATTCATGCCAGAAGGCTATTCGAGAAGCAATTTGTTTGAAAACTGAATCATTTCCCCCCAATTGGAAATAATGTAAATTGAATTCATTCATTCCAGACCCCCAAATGATTCCATTTTAACCTTTCTCAGTTGCATTGTTTTGTGAGCACTTTCATACTCTTAGCATTTTAAAATTGTGCTAATCGTCAATTTTGTATGCCATTTTCAGTAGCCAGATCATTTTTTTTTAAGCTCTATCGTTGTTCTCACAACTTTCCTTTCCATTTTGCTGCTATCACTAACCTCTGTAGGACCCATGGGGACTTACTGTAAGTATTTAATAATAACAAGCAGCAACAAAACAAAAAATATTCACAGCACAATTTCCTGAGATGTTAACAATGTGAGGTTTAGCGGTAAACTGACTCAGACTTGCATATTCTCTCCTTTGTTTGCCACCTGAGAAACACGTGACTGATTATACAGGTATCTGCATGAAAGGGTTGTCCAGTTGAGAATTGAAGTTTTTTTTGACAACCGAGACATTTTTTCTGTGAACAACTTGGTCAAGAATTGAATTGTTCGAGATGGGAGATGCTCGAGAACTGAGGTCTGACTGTATTAAAGACAGAAGTATAAATTTAACACATTGTCATTAACAGCTGCTTAACAGTGATAAAATACACTTTTATTTACTTTGTTGAGTAGAAGGGTCATAAAAAAATTATTGCTAAAGTAGATATCAGGCGAACAGAAAGGTGCTTTAAGAGTCCAGTTACCTTGGAGTTTATTTAAACTAAGAGGAAAAGGTCATAATGTTTTCATGCAATACATACTTGATTCTTTAAATAACAATTGTGACAAATAACAGAAAGAATTAAGGAATGCTATACTTGTGATCCATACAAAACTCCAGCAACATTTTGAGTAGTACATAATTTAAAGAAATGCTTCAAACACTTTTCGAAATACTGTTGTTGCCAATACATAGAAGCATGCCTTAGGTGGGCATAGGAATGCAGTTTAGAAAAGAAATTTTTTTAAAAATCACACTGAAACTACTCAATTTCTTTAAAATCACTGAACAAGAAAAACAACATTGAACCGCCATACTGATTTTACACAACTTCTATACAGTACCTTGACTTAAATCCAAGAGCAAAAGGTAAGACTCTCCTCCTCTATTTTTGGTAAACAACTGCATGGTAAACTTAGATGACTTTTCCCCCTGGATTTTACCTGGGAGTGGCCTTTTAAATTTTTTTTATTTAAAAGAGGGCAGGTTTGGCACTTTTATACTGATGTCACCAATGTTAATATTTCTTGGGATCTCAGGAAGATTCATATTCTTTACAGCTGAAACAGCACGGGCTGGAGCTCCCGCTAAGCCAGCCTGCATACAAAAGCAAATAAAAGAAAAAGAAGATGTACAACTCAGGTGTAGCTCACCAAAAAACACTAAGAATGGAGGACAATAATAAAAGATTTTCATATAACAAGCTAGAGACCAGATGGTAAGTTTGAATTGATATGGGATGGTTACATTGAAATACTAATCTATAAAGAGAAAACAGTTGACACATTAAAAAATACAGTGAATACATGCGATGACAATGTAAAGATTTAAACACAAATTAAACTGTACCACTTGTATATTACACATAATATTCAAATGACTAAAAGCTAGATCTCTACCTAATATCTTGATATAATTGACATATAAGCATGAAGCATATTTTACATTAGTTCTTTATTAAACATCTCATAACAATCATGATATATTCGGGGGTTTTGCTTTTAAAATGGCATTTATTATCAATACATGTTGTGAAATAAAAACGAAAAGTAATAGATCATGCTTGTTTAGTTTTTTTACTTAGGGCTAATGCCTTAAAACAATAATTTTTTTTTTTTAAATTATGGAGACTATTCTAAACTTAAAGAAAGTTCTAGGACACTTAAAAAAAATCAGGCTTTTAAAGTAAAGCCTCAATCCAAAGAGAACAGGTCTGCCGAAAAATGAAACTGCAACAAGAGGATCATTCCAACCTTTTATGCATTAGTAAAGATATAACAATTAAAAATATTCTGTCATATCAAGTGGATTCAACAACATATATTTAGTTTACAAAATACAAATTTAAAGAATAGCATAAATGTAAAAGATAGCATATATAAAATTTAAAATTTATAAATAAAATTTAAAATTCTCAGTACCATTATTGTACAATATTTGGCTTTTATCTTAGTAGGAAAATTTATAATTTTGTGAAGTAATTTTGAAAGAAAATATGCTTAAAAATAAAAGAAAAATGAACACATATCATTTTTCTCAAGTAGCTACATTAACAGTATTTGTATTTTTAAGGATTAATTTATATACCAATTCAATTTCATCAATTTTTAGTCATGCTATATAATAAAGCCAACAAACATCTCAATTCTGTGGCATACATTGTCTTGCACAAAGATGACAATTAAGTAACAAAAACAAATCTTCAACTTTGATTAGATTACATATATACAGGGGTTGGCAACAGTAGGTTTACAGTTGTTTGTATGGAAAATAATACAAATAATCAATAATTAATAAATAATAATAATACAAGAATAAACTTGACTTTGCTTACAACTGTAAACCTAATTTAGCCCACTCCTATATAAGAAGCAATGTTCATGTTATTAGAACACTAGTTTTAAAGTCCCGTTTTGTAATTTTAGATCATTTTTCTTATGTAATCCTACCTCTTTTGTTAATTAAAAAAATAATAATAAAGCTGTTACCTGAGAAAAATCTTGACTGATACAAAATAGGCCAGTGTAAACTATTTGCTGAATAAAGGATACAAACATTGTTAAGCAATGAAATAAAAGCCATGGATTATCAAGTCAGAATTGGAAATAATAGAAAAATCAGTAAAGTAGTATTAATAGAGGTGGTTCACACAGGCAATGCTAAGGGTGATATGGACGAAACACTCCATACGCAATTAAAGACTTAATAGAGCTGGGACTTCAATTTCTGTAATTTAATAGGGATTAGTTGTTTTGATGTATTATTAAAAATTTGATTGACCTCTACATTTATACCTACCTGAAGTAATGCAGTTTTTGTTACAACTTACTTTTCTCCCATTGCCCCCAAAGACAAAGATATATATGAATATTACTTAGGGTAGCATAAATCATATTGAAAAGGGTCTTTAAGCTGATCATTTCAAGAGAATCAAAGAATAATTAAGTTCAAATAGCTTTCCCATGTTATAGGCTCTCTTCCTTTTAACAGGAAGTATGTTGTCTGCCAACGGCACAAAAATTATTTTACAAAATGACAGATATCCTGGAACTAGTATCATTTTTCCAGGTAGAATGAATTTTATAATTTTTCTAAATAACAAACCAATTTGCTACTATTGTTACTTTGAAATTTCTATACAGGGTACAAATGATGACTAGGCTATAGAAAAGTATTGTTTAAGATATTTAAATATAAATATTTTTAAAGGTATAAATTATTAGAGGATTTTGTGAAAAAGAGAAAAGGTAAATATGTGTGTGTTTTACTGGATGCTATGATTTATATTATAAATAGTTAAAGTAATTGTTTTCAGTATTAAACTAAATATAATTGTCAAGACGCCTTCTTTTCCATAATACCCTATACCAGGGGTGGGCAAACTTTTTGACTCGAGGGCCACAATGGGTTCTTAAACTGGACCAGAGGGCCGGAACAAAAGCATGGATGGAGTGTTTGTGTGAACTAATATAAATTCAAAGTAAACATCATTACATAAAAGGGTACGGTCTTTTTTTTTTTTTAGTTTTATTCATTTCAAACGGGCCGTAGTTTGCCCACGGCTGCCCTATACCATGAACAGCTAAACTGAACTTAAGCAGAGAAAATGAGAATAAAAATGCCGTCTGTTAGGTTTCATTAGATTAAGTAATTTCTTTGTGACCAAAGATGGTGTCAACAGTTGGTTACTAATGAGAATATATAAAATCAATAGAGCAGTAGATTTAAATAGTATATTTGTGCCAAGTTCTTATTATGTAAAACCAAAAGAAGTTTCTAAGTACAACAAATTACAATTCTTTTAAACATAAGCAGCAAGCCATAGACATGCAAAGGATGATAACTACTCAGAACACGCAAATGGATTAAGAGAATCAAATTATTTCTCAAGCATGTTCAATACTTTTGTGTAGAATGTCATGAATTTAAATGGTACAAAATTTTAAAATTGTGATGTGTATGTCAATTAAATTTTAATTAAAGAAACATTTTAAGAAAGCAGATTCTACAGAATATAAAATGTTAAGGAAAAATACAAGAAGGACTGTTGATTACTAAGTAGATGCTTATATGAGCTGTTAATGTTTATATACAAAAACTTAGGGCTTAAAAACAAACAAACTTCATGTTACCAGGTAGTCAACCTCCTAACTGCTATAAAATCGATTTCATTTTCAGACTTCCATGAAAGTGAAGTCTGAAACATTTTATTAAAGAATAAATCATAATTTGCCATTAGAAAATCAATTTGCCAACACTGAAATATAATTTTCATCTTAGTTTTCTTCTCAGTAAAGATATATTCAAAGCAACAAGACAACTTACACTCAAATTTATAGAAATGAAGTTTACCTGACTTCTTAGTAATTTATACAATTTAAAATGTAAAATGACAGTACAACATAGTTCTTAAAGATTTAGGATTACATAGTTGACACAAGCAGAAAAAAAAGGAATGAAATCCTACTGGAGAAATAACTTGTTTCCATCTATGTTATTTTACTTGAGCACCATCATGGCACGTAAACTGCAGCAACTCCACTAACAAAAACAAATATATGAACCCAAAGCTGTTAAGAGTATGAATTAGATGAAGGAATGAAGTACAGTATATAAAAGAATGGTCATGTTTTCTCTCCCATGAAATTAAATAAATTAACAGAATTAAGAGAAAGAAAACAAAATGAAGTCTGCAAGTATACCAAAATGAGGCCAAACAGATAGAAGACTTATACAGACATACTCTTGGAAATTTCAAGCACTGGAATCACAAAGATAATAATGGATGGATATGATTTTTTTTAAATTTTGTTTTTAAATTGCCAGACCCAAAAATAAACAAAATATGTGCAAGCAAAACTAAAAAAGCAGCATTACTAAAATATATTTTAAAAAATCTGAAAGCTCCCTTTTCCTCATGCAATAGCAATTAACTTTCTTGAAGGGGAAAGGAAAGAATCTAAATATTTATTTTATCTAAGACATAAAATACCAACCTACCATCTTAAAATATTTTTTAAGCCTGAAATATAGCATAAGAAGATGGTAGTTGGAATAATTTGTACATACTAAACCTTTACCCACCCTTCCTGCTGGAAGTTGGTATATGCACAGTCAAAATTTTGACCTAACAGCAAAGTGAAAGAACATCAACATTAATAAACACAATATTAAATGGTTTCAGACTCAAAATCATTTACAAAATAATGGCAGATTTTTAAACATGTTTTGAATGGAATAGAAAATGCCAATATTTTAATTTCTGAATGTATGGTAAAATAACTTTTAATCTGGGAACTTATAAGAGGCTTGCTCTTTGCTTTAAGGGCAGTGCTTTAATACTGCAATTATAAACAAAGAGATGAGAAATACTGATGACAATCCTCTAGTGAGTGAGTAAGAATATGGTATTTTATTAAAAATTTTATCAACATTAGAATATTTTATATAATCTTCATTTAGAGTTTAATTTCTAGCACAGGAAGTGCCTGTGTGAAAATAATATAGTAGACTAATGCCATTCATGGATTTAATATAACTATTTTTGACCTCAGGGGTCCCCACTGTAATTTTGTAGAACAGAATAACTGCATGTCAACATAGAGGGGCAGAACCAACTCACAGGTTGACTTCCCAACATCTGTTACTTAAGTCCCTTTTCTTATTCTATACTCTTTAAAAATAGAAACTTGATTTTAAAAAGTAAAAAAGCCAATTACTAGTTCTAGGTATGGAAGTTAAAAGACCCAAGTGGTTGATGGTTCTTTGTTAGAAAATAGCAATTTAATATAAATTAAAAACTGGAACATTGGCAGTGATTTGGATCAATAGAATGACTTATTTATTTTCTATTGCAAGGATAAAGTAATATGGATCTAGGGACCAAATGTGGTACACCCAGCTTCACGATATAGCCTATGATCCTGGGATAAGATCTTAGAAAATCACCTGTCTGATGCTGCTTCTTAAACACATCCAGAAAGCAATAATTTAGCGGCTAAATAGCTATGCCATATTCTCAGTGACATTTTCCTAATTATAAGGTAGGTAATCTAACTTGTTAAGTTGATAGATTTTTTTCCTTCATAGGGCTCAATAAAGTATTTTTATTTTGAAGTTTTTAAATGGGGTCCTATAAACATTTTCATTTTTCCTGAAATGGCTTTGTACAAAAAAGTTGTTGCTCATCTACAGAGAAATGTTTAAAAAGTAATTCAAACAGTTAACTATGGTGTAAAAAATTTTTTTCAGAGAAAATCTAGTTTCGTAAAGCTAGGAGTCTATTAAAAACATTTCTAATATTTGCCAATATGCTTCGCAAAAACACTCAAAGTTTATAATATTTTTTGTCTTATTACGACATGTTTGGATGTTAGAAGGTTCCTACAGTAGAAATCCACTTTATTTTGGTAAATATATTTAATTCCATTTTTTAGAACATTTAATTCAATTTTAATAATTTCTGATCTTGTTTTTTATTGGCTACTTTTAATATGTACCTATTAGTCAAAACTAGTAAAAGCAATTCTGTTAAGATTTTGGAATTGCAGTACTATTTAACAGTCACTGTTCTAAGCCTTCACTGCTTCCTACTTTGTATGCAAAACTTTGAAGGCTCAGCTTTTGGGTTTTAAATTCACAGTTTCCAAAACCTAGAAGGCAATTTTGTGTTAGAATCCTAATTTAGAAAGATGAGGGGAAAAATCTATGAGTGTTAAAGTAAGATTGGTTCTGCCACATGATGCTCAAAATAAATTCTAAATTTAACATACCAAATAAATTGTCATTTCTACAAAATGTAATTTGTCAGTTAAATGACAATGTTTAAAAATAATAACAAAAAACTTAATCTTTCCTTTCACAATGCAGGCAGACAAAACAGAACAAAGATGACATTGATGATATACTAGAAAAATACACTAAGTCCAATAAAAGATGAGGAAACTACAAGGAGAAACTAGAATGAAAAATAGGCTACAGGGACTATATGGGTTCATTAACACAAAGAATTTTTGAGTCTGGCCTACATAATTAATTGCCTTTGACATCATTTTGCTTTCCCTTTTGTTAAAGTACATTTTTCTCAAAGTCAGCAATACCTTGTCTACCTGTCCTGTCTGGGAGATTGAAAGATAAAGGTCTGTAAAGAGAAGAATGGAAAGAGCTAGAAAGATCAGATGTTCGGAAAAAAAAGAGGACTAACTTTAAAAAAGTAGTAACTAAAATCAGAGTCATTTTTCATCTTAAAAATAACATGAAATACATAAAAACTAACAAGTCTCCCCAACCCATCCTCCTCCACCCACAGGGAGTCCTTTCATTCCAAGCCACTTCCTGGGTGCCTTTTAGACTTTTACCAAATCCCACCAACTTCCCAGCTTAACCCCTCCTTTCACAAGATCCCAATGTTACAAGCAAACCATTTTTCTATCAAAGCAGGATAGCTGAAAATACACTGAAAGCATATAAATGCTTCTTCTCTCTTTAACCAGTTAACTGCCACGATATTTTGAATTTGATTAAAAAGGTCCGCTGTATGCGTCTATAGAAGCTTATTGCGTACAAATGGTTAAAGATCTGGGTGATCTTTGCTCCTACCTGTCTAGGTATTGGGAATGAAACTGGTTCACTTTTGATTGTTCTCTTTTGATTGATACTACCATTAATCCAAAATAATAAAATCTTTGAAATCTGACAAAGTAAAGGCACCTAGATAGATCTATGATATATTTTAAGAGCTTATCTTAAATTAAACCCAGGCTGATTTTTAAAAGATAAATGCTATTCTACATATCACTTAAATTAACTTTAAAAATAAGATAACCAGATCTTGTCATCAATTATGATACTCTGAATTTTAATTAAGCCTTTCATGGTAAGTTTTTGTTTACATAATAGATCTTAATTAAATTAGTAATTTTGGGTTATTCTGCATTCATATGTTTGGTAGATATAACCAATTTAAGTAACCTGGAAATAGAACTCACATGAAAATTTCTGACATTTCAGTGTGTCTAAAATAAAGCTGGTAGACTTCTAAAGATACTTAAAATATATGAAAATTACTGAAAAATTACAAAAAGTCAACATTATATTTCAACACAATTTCTTAAAATATGATCAAGACTAAATAGTCTCACTTTGACTTTTTTATAACTAAATATTAGCAGACATCACATATAGAGAAACACTTACTGAACATATGTTGGGTTTTATCCCCAATCAGATTTAAAATATACTTTCTTGTAAAGGAGACAAAAAACAAAACAAAACTAATGTGGTAGCAGATAACAACTAACTATATATTAAAAGATTATTAGTGGATGAAAAATGGGAGTATTCACTAATATTCAGAACTATTTAAATAGTATAGTATTCTTATAACTTTCTATCAAAAATGTAAATTCTACATTTCACTGCTCTTTATAAATTAAAAAACTGCTTAACAAAATATCACTGAATAACCAAAAAACAAATATCCATTATGCAATTATTATTGGTCTTTTATGACTTTTGTCAATATTACATACATCACACACTAAGGAGAAAAAAAAAAGGAAAAGGACACCACCAATGGAAAGGAGTTTAAATACCTGGAAATTTTCAATGTGAAAATTCCAGGCAAGAAGTCTATATATTTTTACAGATGATTACACAGAATTGACAAATTATCACATCCATTCATTTTATAGTGATTAATGGATTGTGTCACTGTCTGTCTCTTGGCATTTAAAATCTGTAACCATCGTTTTGTAATGAAAAGTTTAACAGATGATATAAATTGGCGAGATGGATTAGAGGAGATGTCTGGGATTTGAGTTGCGGCAGAGAGGGAGTGGAGGTATTTAGCCTTCTGCCCTATGGTGCCACTGAGAAGGGACAGGACCTTTCGGAGGTACCTGTGAAGAAAGGGGAGCAGGACCTCTCCCTCCTCCAGATTCCTACCCTCTAGTGCCAGCCCCCTGTGAACTTCATCCCAAAGTGGAGCCGGGATAGAGCACAGGTTTGGGTGCTGGATGAAAGACAAGGGGGTGATTTGTGAGTCCCATGTAAATTTGTACATTGAACTATTTATGTTTGCATATATATTTGGTGTGCATGTAAAATGAGCCAATAAACCAGATTGTGTGTAAAAAGAAATTTTCAAATTATAATTTTAAGACTTTAAAAAACTACAGCTTAGAGTTTATAGTAAATCTTTTACTATACATTATATATTGCAAACCAACCACATTAAATAATATTCTGAATTGTTTTCCTTGTCTTAGTTTAATCTAGTTTATATTTTCCCCTTTCAAAAACCAATACTTGAAAAATTGGCTGTAGAACACACAAAATACATAGTTACTTAAAAGAGCCATAATTTTAAGCTCTTCACTATTATAAGTCTCTCCTTTGGAAAACCAATAGGGATGGTAAATTGAGATAAGAAGAAATTTTAAATAAAACACTGGTAAATGATTTTATCAAAGTTTCAACTGTTTTTAACCCTCAGATTTCAGATTTATCCACCATCCTGTGTTTTATTCAGTTCTAATGAGCATAGTATTTATTTGTATTAAACTGATCCTTTAAAGTACCAATAAATTAATAATTCTTCAGAACTCACCTGTTGTAAATTAATGCTAACAGTTTCAATATCTTGCTGCTTTTCTAGTACTTTATACCAATCAAACATCTTAACTTGTCCTAATAATTATAAAATATATTTTCCTAATCTGAGTTATGACTATAAATACCAAAGGTAAGAGTATCCTCAAACATATCACTGAATGAGATATTAAGATGTTATCTATCTAAACTTCTGCTACAGCAATAAATAACCAAAATAATGTGAACTTGAGTGGCTCTGCTAAAGCACCTGTCACTAATATTCAGCCTAGTACATGTGGGAGGAGTCACTAAATTCCAAAGTAGGGTTTTATACAATGCTAAAGTGCTGGCTGGTCCCCATTCACCTAACCTAACAGCACAAAGTTAGCACTGCATAACTAACCAAATCTTTCCTTTATAGAATGCAATAAAAGCCATGAATATATGTATCAACGAATAAAATATATGACTTAGCAAACTGGTCAGTGACCTTTGGGTAGGATCCAGAATTAAAAGATTAAGGCACTAAATTTCCCTTTTCAATATGTACTCAGGCTTGCTAAGCACCTAATATAACTTACTATTTCCTCATGAGAATTCCATTGCCTTTTCTCTCCTCTTCCAGAAATAGTTTTATAATGCTAAATTTATATATCTTTAAAATATAAGTTTTAAGATGTCCTTGATAATTACTGACTAATGTTTTAGAAAGCTAATATTCCATTTTCAAGTAAATAATTTCATTTTTAAGCAGTAAGAATTTGGAATTGTGTTAATTACCCAAGGCAGGTATGACCATGGCTAAAAGAAGGATGCACAACTACTTGGTGGGTAGTAACCACAGAACATCTGGCATACTACAATATGTATATCCCACTTAAAAACTGGATAAGCATACCAATTGTCCCTAAAGGTGATACTAAAGGACAAACAGTGAAAGCTACAAATCATGCATAATTTATGACCATGTTTACCACCTTCACTAACTAGAGCACTTTCTGTTCTTACCTCAGATTTCTCCAGTTTATTTTGTGCATCAATTTGTGTAACAATCTCATTCATGTTGGTCTCCAATACCATTCCCCCCATCACCATTTCTGCAAGAATATTGTGAACCTAAAGGGAAAAAAATAATACACACCTATAAAGAAAACTCACTACAAAAACATTTCATAATTCCAGTAGTTTTTGGTTTAAATACTGCTGTGTCTACTTTATGAGCTGTATAATAAAATAATTTGGAATGAAGGCTTAAAACCTGCTTTCATCACTACTGTGAAGCTTTAGGCAGTTATATATAACCTCTTTAAGTCTTATTTTAATGGGCTATAAAACAGAGATAATAATAGTATCTCCTTCATAGATTGCTGAAAAAATTAAATGAGGTCATCCATGGAAGTACCCAAAACAAAGTAAATGATCAATAAATATTAGCTACCTAATGATTTTGTTAGAGAGAAGAAGTGAGAGATAGAAACATCAATGATGAGAGAGAATCATTGATCAGCTATCTCCTGTACACCCCACAACCTGGGCATGTGCCCTGACTGGGAAACGAACTGCAACCTCTTGGTTCACAGGTCAACGCTCAACTGAGCCACACCGATCAGGCCGAAGGTAAGGTAATTTTTTAAAATCACTTTTTTGCTAAAAATTTAGGCCACTTATTTCAGACTATTTTATTCAATGGCTTAATAATTCAAAGCAATGTTAAATTACATAACCTTAATACAGAAAAAAATCTATATATAGTAAAAGTGGAATCTCTTTCTTCTAAATTCGGTATTACCAATACCCAATAATACTGATTAGAAAACTCAGTCATTCTTCCCTTCTCTTACCTCCAGCTTTCAATAGGCTATCAGGGTCCTACTCTACTCTCTTTCATCCTTACTATACTGTCTTAATTCATTTCTTTCTGGACTATTGCAACAGATTCCTAAATTGATTTCTCTGTTTTTAATCTACTTAACAATCCAACTTCCAAAAAAGAGCTACCACTCCTTTTCTGTCTGTGAAAATATCTACTAATCCTTAAAAATCCAGTTTAAATGTAATTTCCTCCATTCACACAATCCTAGGAAGAGAATAAAAATAGCCTTATTCACTAAATCCATTTTTACTTTGCAAATAAAACAACATTTTTCTCAGGTAAAAAGCTTAGAAGATTTGACAATATAGAAGTAGTACCTTGTCTACATGGAAAATTAAATCCAGTTCACAGATATTTTCAAAACACTTGTCTAATGTTTCCACAAATACCTAAGAAAAAAGAAAAGAGAAAAAGTTAAAAGCTTTTGAGAACTGTGTAAGTTCATTCAAATCTATTATCTATAAGGCAGACAATCTTGTGACAAAAACTTTTATAAATCTATTATTACACTAGAGGCCCGGTGCACGAAATTTATGCACGGGAGGGGGGTGTGTGTCTCTCAGCTCAGCCTGCACCCTCTCCAATCTGGAACCACTCGGGGGATGTCTGACTGCCAATTTAAAACCCTCTCACAATCCGGGACTGCTGGCTCCCAACCGCTCGCCTGCCTGCCTGCCAGCCTGATCACCCCTAACCGCTTCTGCCTGCCAGCCTGATCACCCCCTAACCACTCCCCTGCCAGCCCGATCGCTCCCAACTGACCTCCCCTGCCGGCCTGATTGCCCCCAACTGCCCTCTCTTGCCGGCCCAATCGCCCTCAACTGTCCTCCCCTGCCGGCCATCTTGTGACGACATGGGGGCGGTCATCTTGTGAGGGCATGATGGTCAATTTGCATATTGCCTCTTTATTATATAGGATATCTGTTTTTTAATTAAAACATTATATTAAGCCCTGACTGGTTTGGCTCAGTGGATAGAGCGTCGGCCTGCGGACTCAAGGGTCCCAGGTTCGATTCCGGTCAAGGGCATGTACATTGGTTGTGGGCACATCCCCCGTGGGGGGTGTGCAGGAGGCAGCTGATCGATGTTTCTCTCTCATCGATGTTTCTAACTCTCTATCCCTCTCCTTTCCTCTCTGTAAAAATTCAATAAAATATATTTAAAAAAAAAAACAAAAACAAAAAACAAAAAAAAAACATTATATTAAGTGCAAAATAAGTAATTATAAACTATTCTTCATGTAAACTACTTTTCAATACATTAATATATAAAACAAACTTAGCTGAAAATAAGAACTAGAAATTCTTAGCACCTTTTACCTACAAAGCACCAGAAAATACTCAAAAACTCCCTATCCTCATGTGAGGAAAAAGAAAGCTTATTAGTATTTTATCAGGCCTTGGCTTGTGTGGCTCAGTTGATTGAACATAGTCCCATGAACCAAAAGGTCACTGTTTTGATTCCCTGTCAGGGCACATGCCCAGGTTGTGGATTCAATCTCCAGTCAGGGTATGTGTGGGAGGCAACCAATTGATATTTCTCCCTCATACTGAAGTCTCTCTCTCTCTCTCTTTCTCTCTCTCTCTCTCAAATCAATAAAAAACATATTTTTTAAAAAGAAGAATTTTATCAGGATAGATGGGCATAGTCCAAGTCACTATCACATCTAATGTAACCAGTAATTTCCAATTAGCAAATCAGTATAAAAGATCTCTAAAAATTACTTATGGAAAGAACAGTCTTTGGAATCAGACTTCCTGGGTTCAAACTCTGGCTTGAATACCTTCTATGACCATATATGAGAAAGGATTAACTCAGCCAACATGGCTTGCTGAAACCTACACATTCCCCGAAATGATCTGATTTCAGACTAGCCCTCAGCTAGCTCCTGGGAATGGAGCCCTTGGAAAATTCTGTCTGACAAGAGTGTTTAATGGGCCTGTGGTCTTGGGCCACACTGTACGTATGAGCAGTTTATGCTACCAATATGATTTACGGCAAACATCTCTTTTTCTCTGAGGTTCAGGAACTTAATAATCAAGGTCAGTCACACAGGTGCTACGTACCTACATGACTGACCCCCAATAAAAATTCTGGACACCCTGGCTACGATGAGCTTCCCTGGTTGGGAACACTTTGCACATATCATCATATATCACTTCTGGGGGAAGTAAGCACATCTGTGTGACTCCAGGGGGAAGGGACACCTGGAAGATTGCACCTGGTTCCATCAGACTTTTCCTCATATGTTTTTATGATTTTACTCTGTATCCTTTCACAATAAACCCTCACCACGAGCCTAGCAACTTCTGAGTCCTGTGAATCCTAGTAAATCATTCAGATGACCTTGGGACCTCTGATACAAACAATTTCTAAAATTCTACCTATTTGTATTTCTATTCCCACTACCTTTCTCAATGGTAGCTTTCACAGACAGAGTAACTATTCAATTTATCATCCAAATTGGGGGGGGGGGATTAAGAGTAAAAAAGAGCAGCCATTAATTATTACTATCCTACTAGAGGCCCGGTGCACGGAATTCATTCACTGGGTGGGTGTCCCTCAGCCCAACCTGCCCCCTCTCACAGTCTGGGAGCCCTCAGGGGGTGTCCTACTGATGGCTTGTGGGGAGCAGGCCTAAGCCACAGTCTGGCCACAGCAGCTCGGAGCACGCCCCCCTGGGCAAGTCTGTGGGTCTACTGGGGGTCTTGCTCCCAGGGCAGGCAGTGCAGTGTGCCTGCCCTCAAACCCCTGGTGGGAGTGGCCTCGGGGTTGGGTGGCACCAGGGCTGAGGGGGTGGGGGTGGGGGTTCTGAGCTGCGCCCCCAGCCCTGGTGTGTGGTGTGTGCCCGCTGGGGCTGGGGGCTTGCTCTGAGCTGGTCATGATGTCCTGGCCTAATTTACATATTTCTCTCTTATTATGTAAGATATAATAAAAGCCTAATATGCAAATTGTCCCCTTGGGCGCTCGTTCGACCGTGAGTTTAACTGGGAGACCAGGAGTTCAACCGCTCACTATGATGTGCGCTGACTACCAGGGGCAGCACAGAACATGGTGGCCATTGGCAATGTGGTGCTGGCAGCAAGTGGCACTGCTGGTACTGATAGGTCCGACGAGAGCGGGACCGCAGCGGGATAATGGAGCAGGTGAGTGGGCGGCACCAGGCTAAGGCGGGTGTGAGCGGGTGCCCAGGTGCTGCCCAGGGCCCAGAGGTCAGCTGGAACCTGCCCTTCCACTCCAGACGCTCGTGCTTTAATCGCCAGCCAGGCCTAGGGACCGTACCCATGCATGAATTTAATTCACCAGGCCTCTAGTTATGTTATAATAATAGATGCGATGTTATCATAATAAAACAACAGCTTGCAACAACAGATGTGAGCAGGACTGTTCCTAGCATATTGAAATGTATGGTCACCCTATTCATAGGTGATCCAATGGGACAAAGAGTAAATTCTAAATAGCAGGTTTCTTGCTATAACTGCTCTTCAGTAAAATGTCATAATTACATATTCTTAATTTAGGAAAATAATTTCTAAGACTTAATGCACTCAAATGTTAAATTTGGCTTTAAAGAAATCAAAGACCCTCTTCAAAAAACTTTCCAATATGAATAACACATGGACACAGACAGTATGGTGGTAGAGGTATGGGGTGGGAGGGCAGGGGCAGGCAATAAAGGGGTCAGTGGGAGAAAAAAGGAGACATATCTAATACTTTCAACAATAAAGATTTTTAAAAAAACTTTCCATTACTTTTCTTTTCATTTAGCAAAATTACTTAATATAATTAGAAATCTAGTGCCCCCCAAATAGATACATACTGTCAATCTGTTACATGGAGAAGGCCAATACAAAACTAATAATCTATAAACTGAAGTAAAAAATATAAGAAAATAAATTAATGATTCTAGCCAGAACAAAAAAATAATAATAAAGTTGCTATTGCACCCTATTTCACAAGGAGAAATATTTTTTTAAAAGCAAAACACTAGTAGTGAATAGTAAATAGCACCCTCTTGTGTTTCATTTTTAAAATGATATAAAGTTTAAAGTCAATTTCAATATAACAATTATTTACTAAATAGCTACTCATTAATCTATGGCTTTAAGGAATTCAAAGACTAGTGGAAGAAAAATTATTTTTAATTTACTAAGAGAATTGTGTTTTACATTTTCCTTCATTTTAATAATACCTAGTTTAAACAAAATAGCTATTTAACTCTAAGTCTCAGTTTCTTCATTTGGGCATATTCATGGTACCTATCCCATAGAGTTGTTTTAGTGATTAAATGAATAAATATAAAGGGCTTCGAACAGTGTCTCACTAAATAAAGTAATACATATACATTAGCTAGTACTATAATACTATATATAAAATTTCTTTCTGAGTTTGGGGACTTTGGTTAAATTTCAGGAGGACTTTATCCTACTGTTTCTAAGCTATAATATTAAATGAAGTACATAAATGTAAAACTAACAAGTTATAAGATAGAAAAGGTCTTAAGCCCAAGAATAGTAGGAATAAACTAAAGAATACAAATAGAATGGCAAATAGTCTAAAAAAAATATTTTCTTAGCAGCAAGATATTCTAGAGCAGTGGTTTTCAACCTTCCTAATGCCACGACCCTTTAATACAGTTCCTCATGTTGTGGTGACCCCCAATTTCATTGTTACAAATTGAACATAATTAAAGCATAGTGATTAATCACAAAAACAATATGTAATTATATGTCTGTTTTCCAATAGTCTTAGGCGACCCCTGTGAAAGGGTCATTCGACCCCCAAAGGGGTCGTGACCCACATGTTGAGAAATGCTGTTCCAGAGAGATAACTGGTTTCACTCAAACCAAGAATAAAATATGCCACTAAAAATATACCAATAAAGCTAGGGAAGAGAGACTGAACTTAAGTACCTTTAAAGAAAAATTATGAATGTAGCCTAAGTACACACTCCAATGTATACCACTGAATAATATTCATAACCTTAAAGGTATGACTGGATTTGCACTAAACCTGACCCGGACACTAATGTGCCAATGATTATAATCCTAGTAAAAATAGAGACATTTATTGTGCATATACTACGAGAGAGAGAGAGAGAGAGAGAGAGAGAGAGAGATGAGAAACTTCAATCAGTTGCCTTCTCGTATGCACCTCAACCAGAGATCAAATCGGCAACCTAGGTATGTGCCCTGAACAGAATTGAACCCACAACCTTTTCGTGTATAGGGCAACACTCCAACTGAGCCACATCAGCCAGGGCTAAATTTTCAATTTCAATATGAAGGAATTAAGAGTTGATGAAGTGACTACCTGTATTTTATATTCATGTCATAATGATTCTGAAAGAGATCACATCACTGATTCTTTTTGTGCGATTATTTCTCTT